GAGTCTTGTAAGTGGATCAACTGTGCGCTCAGCCTATGTATGGGATGGGTACTGACAGACTGCTAATGAGGCCATCATCAGGTCTCATCCTCTCCTCTCCTCCTGGGGCACCACTGGATGTTCAGTACCACATCTCAATTGAATTTTATCCCACAGGACTTGTTTACATTTGAATCATGAAATCATGACCTGCCTAAAGTCTGCAACTGATTCTGTTCAACTGCTACACCCAGAATGTGTTACTTTACTAGAACTACATTTCTGCTTCATTTTCTGGGATACCAAGTAGTTTAATACAATGCTTCATTTGGTGTCTTCACATCACTGCTTTAATGCTCATATGTGGCTGGTGGTCTCTTTGTGGTTTAATCAATGCACCCGTGAGCCTGCATCAGCAGCGTATTGGCTAAGTGTCACTGGTAATGTAGAGTTGTCAAGGAAAAGTGTGATCAAGAGCTAATGAAATAGCTTTGCTGAAAACATTCGTCCTTAGGGAGGCTGGACATTTTAAGTATGAATATACACACTTGGAGGTATTGGATGTGTGTGTTTGAAAGAAAAGTACTCAGCAACATTTATTTTCCGTGCCTTGTTGTGATTTAAAGATCACAGGACATTAAAGGCCTAGCATCCCTTAAAGAGGAACTTGACTGAGAAATGTGTACTACTTTGAAAATACTATTGGCCACGCTGAGTTTCACATGCAGTTTCAATGTAAAAATTGTTTTCTACCCCATTTCCTGCATTGGCCATCAAAAGAAAATAGACAGAAAAATGCTCTGTTTAGAAACAGTTGTCAGATCTGTGTAGGATTAGCATACGTATTTATTTTTGGTGCTTTTAAAGCTCAATATACTATACTACATTTGACCAATAAGATATGATTTTCTATATAAATATGGAAATCCAGTCTGATTGGTCTTTGAATGTTTAACCAGAAGATTTAGAATTCTTTGTTTATTCAGGGATCGTAAGACACTTCGTATTAATTCAGAGAGAGAGTCAAGTTTATGAAAAGTAAGAAATTTATTTCCTAAACAATTAAAAAACACATGACAACTAGGAACACTTTATGTGATGAATGAATCTAAGTGGATGGAGTGTGATTATATGTGAATGTGATGCTATCAGAACCCTCGTATCTGAAGAAACTGAGTTCTGAGTGGGAGTGAATTTGGTCTGCTACTGTATAACTATAGTGATGGTTTATAAAACCACATCAGACGCAATCTGTCGAGTCTACGTACCCTCTCGGAGACCCCCGTAGTAGATCCGGAATGTGTTGAAGTCCGGGGACCCCAAAGGTACCGAAGTCCGTAGAAGAAACTGCAGTGCCACTAGACCGGTCTCGAGATGTCTCCAGGTCACGACAGGTAGTTATTTGCGTCTATGGAGGACTCTTAAGGAGTCGAGCTGGTTCAGCTTTGTTCTGAAGGAACCGTTTGCGGTCAGCTGTAGCGTGCAACAGGTTTTGACAGCTTGTGGAAGATGCGATGGGAGCAGAGTTTCCCTCCGATGGCCAGTCAGAGTTAGGCTCAAACTGAATTCCTCAGGAAGTGATGCTGTTTAAATGATGGCCATATTTTGGTTTACCGATAAATCAGAACTTGCCCTGTAAAGGGGTTTTGCCAACAAACTCAAGATACACACCTCCCTCAGATATCAAGATGCTGATTTTGTGGATAAGAAAATATCTATGTGCAGTGACGTTAATCCTAACTTGCGTCAAGGAGATATGGTGAGTGTGTCTGGTCCAGTCAGTGTGCTGATTAAATATATGGATCATATATTCATTTCATCCTCGTTAATCTTTCAATGTAATACTAATATTCCTTTCAACTTCAGTAATTTAAGCACAGATTAATGAAAACATTTCATTTAACCATATTGTCCATTTCATTATATGATTAGTTACTCATATTGTTCATTCGTCTTGTTCTGTAAATAAAAAAAACAGTCTTAGATAAGAGTGAGCTTGCGAGGGACCTTGGCCAAGCAACAGTATCTTCCCTGTAGATTGAAAGCACCAGTTAAGACTTATGTCTCCAAATGGCCAGATACCGAAGAGGTCAGACTGTAGGTGGAAAAACTGACCATTCCTGGAGGCTACAAAAAAAAAAAAAAAGTTATCAAATGTGCATCACACTGTAAACTTAGCATTCATAGACTTGCTTTTATTGTCTCACGATGGGGATTACTGTGTTTTTTAGCATCCAGGAGAGAGCAGAGCGTGTCTCGACTGGAAGCTAACCATTAGCATTAGCGGTTCCATAGCATAGTGGAACAGATTCAGACTTGTGTTATTTGTGGAGATAAAATGTCATTGTTGCACAAAGAATTGAGGCAGTGGAAGAGTTGCTTAATGAGCAAGACTCCAGATCTTGTCGTTTTCCACCCCCACTCCTCTGGCTAACTAAAACAAGAGCGCCAGAGCTTTTTTTTTTCATCTGAGAAAATCTGACAAAGCATTCATTCATACTGGAGACCACAGCAGATTTTTTGAGATAACCAGTGTGTGCCCGCTTTAAAGCTGTTTTAACGAATCTAACAAGCTAGGTTTTGAATACAAGCATGGTCATAGAACCCTCACCCCTTCCCTCGGGTATCTTCCCTGTGATGCTTCTGTCGAAACCAGAAACCCGCGATGCCGGATGAAACGAGATAGCGCTAAGAGCAGTTGTCTTTTTCTACGTCCAAACATCTTTTGTTGTCCGTGACTACAAATGGTGTTTTCCTTTTTGGCACTCTGGATGTTTGTCCTAAAGTTAAAGTGGTAGCAGCCGGCTGTTTCTCTCTTTCTGTTATTACTGAGCGGAGAACCTCTCACACCAGTGGTGTTCTGTTGCTAAATACACAAATGTGTGGAGGACCCGGTGAAGTGCAGAAGTGCGAGGGTTCAGCAAAACCAACAACCTGAAAGTCCAGTAGTTTCTTTCGGCCAGAACAGCTTATTTATTTTCCAAATGTGCCATTGAAACTTTAAAGCATTTCTTAATTTTCTTTCACAAATGACGGAGTTACAACCATCTGGTGAAATTTAGAAACTGACAGTATTTTATATCTCACATGATTTGTTAGTGTTTGTTGGGAATAACTCTCATCCACAATTTAGCTAAGATTTAGCTTGGTTTCTGTAAAGCTGACTGGGTTATAGCCACTTTTGTACTAGCTAAGACAAAATAGTAGGGAAGCTAGCCTGAATTGACTGAGTCCACTCAGAAGCAGATTGACATCTAGTGATCACATAGACCAGAGGCAGGAAACTCCAGTCCTGGAGAGCTGCTATCCAGCATGTTTTAGAAGTTTCCCTGCTTCAACACACCTGAATATAATCAGGACTTCTACAGAGCCTGATGAGCTGCTGAACAGGTGAATCGACTGTGTTGAAGCAGGGAAACAACTAAAACATGCTGGATAGTGGCTCTCCAGGACTATTGTGCCCTACCTCTGATCTAGATGTTGTATTAAAATCTAGTAAATGTTTCATGAGATTTCTTCTTCTAAAGGAAACATCATCTCTTGCTGACAGGCAAAAACAGTATCCAGACACGACCCTTTTACTGTAGCCCCTGTAGATGAATTCTGTCTAACACGTGCCACTGCTGATGCTCTGACTGTATTATATAATCCTCCTGTCAGATGCCTCTAGATAAAAGCACAACCCCTGCTTTGCTATATGTACATCAGTGTGCCGTGCCATGCTTCAACCAAGCACGATGCATTGTTTTATGTTGTTGTTATTTTTTTTTTGGTTTGCTTTTTTCAAGACACAACCACAAAGTGGCAGTTGGGCCTGTTGCTGCGTAGGCCACAAGTCCTGACTCATTCTGTGTACTTTGAAGATCTTGTGAGGAGGCACTGACATTAAAAAAATAAATAAGATAAAATAAAAAAGACATCACCACGTTTTTGATTGCTGCGGCCCAACTCGACGTGATCCCAGACATGGCCCGTTTGATTCTATCCGTCTCTGAATGATATTTGCTTCGTTACAGCGACGTGCCGTAAGAGACCAAAGTGTTGACACAACCTGAGTTAATGTGTTTAGTGACTCTAATGGCTCACAGAGATCTTAATGAAACATTGTCATGGGAAGATTTATGTGGCAAGCTGCTCAGACCTCATTTCCATTTTCTGTGTGGTTGCAACTACCTTTATTTAATAATTAGATCACAGAAGATTATGCTAAATTGAATTTAGAGATTGAATGTATAACATGAGTGTTAATGATGCAAAGGTTGGATCAAACTTGTCACATTGATCATTTTTGAACTGGTTTGCCAGTTTTTTTCTCTTAGAGAGATGAGGGATGATTTTTCTTTAGGTCATAAAGTTTTTTCCCTATAAGACAAACTGTTAATTTTACATTTATTTCCCAAACACTAAAAATTACCTGTAATTTATGCTAATACTGATGTAATTTTGACTTTTTAAAAGTTTTTTCGATGTTTAAAAGTATGTGATTTTATGATAATGTATTTTATGTTATTTTTTTAGGAGGAGCTTTGAGTTCAATAAATTACATTTCTTGGCTCGTGGAAGATTCATGAGCAAAGAAGGAGCTCAGAAGCATTGAAATCAAGCAACTGCTGTAAAATGAACTTCCAAAAATTCAGATTTCCTATTTTGAAATATTTATGGGGTAGAGAAAAAAAAACATACATTTTTTCAGTGGTTTAGTTTTTCATTTTGAGACCTTGCAGGATCTGAAACCAAAGCTGTGATGTTTGTCTTGAGACGAGATGATATGAGCACCAGTTTATTCATGAAATGCCAAATGGTTATTGGCCAAGGCTGGATTGCACTAAAACCAGAATATTGTATCAGAGAGAGGCAGCTGGTTAGGAGTCAGAACAGATTATCATATGAGAGAGGATGAGTGAGGAGATGGGGGGAGGAGGAGGAGGAGGAGGAGGAGGAGGAGGAGGAGGAGAGTGGCAGAGACTGGAAAGGAAAGCAGGGGGCGAGAGTGAGGGGCACAGGAGGAGGAGGAGACTGAGAGGTGATAGCAGGAAACTCATCGCCTGGTCGCTGTGGGGCAGAGGGGATCAGCCGAGTCATTTCGTCACTATCTCTGCTTCCTCACCTGTCAGGAAAAAGAAATAGAGGGGATGGGGCGTGTAGGTTCTCTGAGGTCAGAGGAAGATGCTGAGAGTCCACTCGTCTTCTCTCTGCAAAAGGGCCCACCGCTGCTCGCAGACATCTGGCCTCACACTGATCACTCATATCCACGGGCAGGGAGGAGGAGGAGGAGGAGCACTTCTATCTTTGAGCTGCAGAAAAATCACACATCTTCTCCCTATATTTGTCTTCCTCACATCTCAGTTTTTTTCTCCTTCCACCCCTTCATCTTTCTCTCATCTCAATCTTGCTTTTAATCCAGTTTTTTTTTTTTACTTTTTCTGTCTTTTGGATTTTAAGACAAGAGAGGGAAGAAAAATTAAAATTGTGGATAAGAGGACGATAAAAGCAGTCTGGTTCTGACTTTATCCTTGCACTTAAAAAGAAGATAAGATAGTTGTGGCTGTGCTGTGTCTAGCAAGCCTGTGCACGGTGGGAAGAGGGCCAGCTTCCCTGCCTGAGCTCTCAGCGCCCCTACTGGCTGCACACTGTGCCAATCAAAGGCTGGTGGGAGGGGAGCTGCGAGACATGAACGCTGATGTCACAGTCACGTGGATTCTGGTGTGGTCATGCTCGGAGGCTGAGAGACAGAGCTGTGCTGGCCAGCTGCTGCTGAGACAGCAGTGGAAGGCTTTGCGTGGGTGATAGTTCTCCTCTTATGGACTCGAAGCTTAATGATGTATTTTGTGATTTCAGCTATGAAAGGTAAGCGCAGAATTACATGTTATGATTAATAACAGCAAATGCATGCTTGATCCCCGCTGCCAAGAGTAACAAGTAGAGGGAAGTGCGGCTCCGCTGTTCATAGCCTGCCAACTCTTTGCGTGTCATTTGCGAGGAGTGTGACAGAGGAGAGGAGACGAGAGGAGAGGACGGTAGCGCGCAGATTGGGAAATTATCCAATTATTATTTATTTTAAACTCTGAGAAGACTTAAACTAATTGTTTCATTCTTTCAACATGCCGGAAAGTGTGTTTTTATTGTAAATATTTACAGTGCGCGTCCGCGCGCAGATGGGGAGCCTGTGGAAACCACAACCTGCGCGTCAAAACACTTCCCGAGCTTTTGACAGAAGAAAATAAAAATTTATTATTATGTGTTTTGTAATAGCACAACGTTTCTATATCAAGTGTTGTTTCTCAGTATTTGTCCAAGTTTTGATCCCGTTGTCCCGGTCCAGAGCAGAGGGCGAGCATGCGCCTCTCCGCGTTGGTGGGGTCGTTGAGGTGCCGACGCGAACGTCAGACTGTGATTTTCAGAGGATAGCGCGTGCACTTGCATGCATACATGCAAATCCAAGCGCGTGCGTGTGTTGTGTTGTGTTCCACTGACCTATTTGTGTGTGTGTGTGTGTTGGGGGGGGGGGGGGGGGGGGCGGCATGTGTGGCCGTCATGACAGCAGGAGTCGTAATATTTTAATGTTGATCTACTAATCCCAGCTCGTCCTCCCCCCACCCCCATCAGACTGGGTTAGATGTTAGGAAAAGTGCGGCCAGACGTATTGTGCTGCATGCACGCGTATGCATATGATATAAATAAATCAAATATGCCCATCCTAACGCAGTCCTCAATTGGAAAGTAACTAATTTAGAGTGAGCTTGCAGCCTGTCAAAAAATAATATTTATATTAGTTTTTATAATGCATGGCAAGAACAAAAACCCTTAAACATGTTGTTTTATAAATGCATATGCATTGATCTTGGTATGCAGAAAAAACATTTTGCACAATTGCAGGACATCTTTCAGCTTTTTCCCATTTTTGCCTTGTTCACATTTTTTGTTGACATTGTGTGTGTGTGTGTGTGTGTGTGTGTGTGTGTGTGTGTGTGTGTGTGTGTGTGTGACTTTTTTAATGAAGTGAGGCTCACACTCATTTGGGTTCATCCTGGCAAGAAGAATAGTGAGAACGCAAATGTTATTTTCACTCAAGACACCTAAAAGTTGACCTTTTGACCCACTGCCCTTTTTTAAATGCAATATATGCAATTTAGGGCAAATGGCCTTATACATTTGCACATTTTTGAGAAACAAAAGAGCAATGTATTAATTAAAAATGGAGGTGTGAGAGTGTGGATGTTTCAACTCTGCAAAGACGATCAGTATTTGTGTTTTTATGTGTTATCATTGGTAAAGAGTACCTGACGCTAGTATTTTAGGTGAGGCTTGCTTTCCAGTTTTACAACTGTGCTTAAAGCTTCCTTTCACCACACTCACTTTCAGTTTTACAGTGATGGCTGGTGTCACAACAGGATACCATGTCACCATGGAAAGAAATGCAATTTAAAAAATCACTGGACGCCCGTTTAAATGGCAGGAGCAATCTCTAATGGAAAAATGGTCAGTGAGTTGGAGGAGCTGCACGACGACTTGCTGCCTTGGCACAGACTAACTTATTATGTTAATATTTCTGCCTGATCGTACTGGAGGCACCTCTTTCTAAGCTTGTTTTTATCCTCTTAACTTCAAAATAATGCTAATATATTATAACAACTGTCTGCGTACGTCTCTGTGGCTTTGTCTCTGCACATCCCCTCCCTCGTCTATCTGCCTCTTACTTCAGCCTCTCTACCACACCGCTGCCTCTCAAGTACCTGTAATGGAAACATCCCTCTCATTACCCAATGCAAATTAGCCATCCTACGCAGCACAATTAAGATGAAAATTCCAATTACATCATTAAAGAAAGTTGTTTGATGTGTGGCTAGAAAAGGTAAAAAGTGCTTCTTATCCAGAGTACATGTAATTAACCCTTGAAAAGGAAGCTCCCCTTTTACCCCTTTTTGTGGCATCGAAGCCACACAGTTTTTGAACGCTTGTCTCAGCACACCTCTGTAAGTGCATGCAGACAGCACATGGATATGTGATTTAGCATGAGTGTGCACTAGACTGTGAAAAATGTTCTGTAGGGGCCCCTGGAGAAGATAAAGCCAAATAACTTGTGAAAGGTGCTTTAAGGCTGCGTTAACAAGGCTGTAAATATTTGCTGTAGCTTTGCCACTCTTTGTCTCTTCCCATCAATGGCCGACTGAAGTGTTGCACTACGTAGCGCTGCAGGCTCTTGCACATTAAAGCAGAGGTTAACAAGATTGGCTGCCATCCAGTTAGTGGACCTGAGGTCCTGGAAGATCAAAAGGAATCAAGAAATCCAACCAACTATATTGCACAAGTCACCCATATTTATTTATTTTAAATCCTAGTTTACGAAGCGTTGTAGTACATTTTCTGACCCTGTAAACATTCATAATATTAGTTGCCTTCTCTTAAAATAGCAGTGCAATGTAAGTCCTGACATTAGAGGTTGCAATATCTGCTTTTATGTAGAATGTTATTAATTTACATCAGGAGATTAATAAATAAGCGATGCAGATGAAAGATGATACAGAGCAATGCCTAAATCGGAGGCCCGGTGCCTTTCTTCCCTCCTGGCTGGATGAGGAAGTGGAATGGTAACCACCCCCCCTCCCCCCCTCCCCATTACACACCCACCCACACACACACACACACACACACACACACACACACACACACACACACACGCACGCACGCACACACACACACACACAGGTTATTAGGGAGTGTGAGATGTGCCTGTCTGTGCTGTGCACACTGAGACAAACATCCTGGCTGCCTAACTGTGGGCAGAGGGGGCTGCTTAATGAGATATCGGCTGCCCATTGAGAGCATGGATTTTTTGATTTGGCGGCAGGGAAGTTGGAAAGAGGGTGAGGTGCACTCTGGAGGGGAGAGGAGCCAAAAATGATAAGCACTTATATCTGGAACTGATATGATTTATTTGACTCAAGGCTGTTTGATGTTATTCATTCTGTTTGTGATTACAGTGAACTGACAAAATTGGTGATTGTTACTTTTGTTTGCGTTTTCTAAAACAAAAGCTCGATTGCAGAATCGCTGCAAATGAAAAAAGCACGCGTTGAAACTGAAAGTTCGGATGACTATTAAAAAATTCCCCTGCAGAAACAAACAAAAAAAATCTGAGAATAGATTATCGCTCCCGAACCTTTACCTGGCGGACAGCTCTGTCGGTCTTGTCAGTCACGCTCTGTGATTTTGACAGATTCGTCCCGTCACAAGCGAGGTTAAATGACTCCCCTGCTCTGTGGCCGGCCGAGCGACGGCGGCTGCAAGAGGCAGCGAGAGGCTCAGTGCAGCTATCGCGTTTCACGAGATGATTTTTCTTCATTCTCAAAATGTTGGCTCCCAGGTTCACCCAGGGTTCTCCGTTTGGCTCTCCAGTCAGGTAAAACACCTAGCTGGGCTTAGTCAAGTGCCTCTAACTTAAGGGTGATTTCCTACTTTACTTTCAGTCTGTATTTCAGGAGTCACTTTACAGATCCTTTGAAGTGCCTCCCTGTCATGCAGCATTTAACTGCTGATTGAATACTTCCTCTGTCAGCACTGGTTAGATAATCATTCACCACAGTCCATTTTTACTTTCTTCTCCTTTTTTTAAACCCTCTCCCCAAAGCTTCCTCTGCAGAAGATGCACAGTGAATACAGATGGGATATTTCACTCCTCTTGTTCAGACTCCATATGCTTTAGATTCAAAAGGGTTATTTGTGTGAAATATTAAAAAAAAGTGCATCATAGTGCATTTATTGTAGTTCTGTCTTCTGAGTAGAGTGTTGGTGAAATAATAATAATAAAAAGACAACAATGCACATTTCTTCTTCCTTCAGCTGTTTATGCTTTGCCACTTGTGGTTTTCTGAAGTGAACGGTGGTTTAAAAGAGTGAAGGGTGAAGTTTTATTCCCCCCGTACTTTCATTCTGAGCATGCTTTTTTTTCCCCCTCTGAGCCTCCGGAGGGCTGTCCATTGGCTTTTTGAAGTTGCATCAAAGAGGAAATGGGAGAGAAAAAGCATTATTGATTTTGCGTTTTGTCTGACTCAAACACTGAGGACAGAAAAAAAAATACGCATGAGAAGTAAGGCGTTTGCAGCGGGCCTGCTCCGTCTCCTGTGCAGGTGGGGGGAGAAAAGGGGGGAGAGGCCACAGGAGCTGAGTTGAGCAGGGTTTCGTCTCTGGTCGGAAAGCAAATCAGGCCGTAATTCTGGAGACGAACACCCGTCTTTCCCGCCTTGCCGGTTAGTTCTGTATCAACCGAGTGACTCCAAAGGTCTGAGGGCGCTCTACAGTCGACCTGCTTTTCCGTGAAACACCAAGCTGCTCTCAGTTGCAATCAGATCTCTTTTCAAGGCATACATGCTGGCAGCAGGCAGGGAGCCAGCCAGCTTGTATTGTTTGTGTGGGTTATCACCCTCGTTCTCCTCCTGCTGTAGCCCAGCAGCGCTGAGACAAGAGACGAGGACGTCTGTGGTGTTAATGTGACCCAGGGTGTCTGAGATGGAGCACTCGGCGATAGCTGCTGATTAGAGTCTGTCACTGTGTTGCCTTACTCAGCGCTTTTATAGAGATACGAAGCGCGGTGCTCTGATGTTGCATGAAGTTTGTTGAAACAGACAATCCAGATTGGACTTTGTATGTGGGAACTGGCTTTTTTTTTCTTTATAGCGACAGACTTGCAGACAAAGTTGAGTCTGGGAACTAAGAGAGGGGTCAGAGGTCACAGCATACTGAGACGTGCTCTCCTCTGGTGCACAGAGAGCTGCCGTGGCATCTCGGGATCCTGGCAGGAGAGGAGGGGGGGGATGCGGGATGAAAAATGAGAGGCGCATGGAATTTTG